TAAATTGAAAGCAATAATTATTTGAAAACAGCTGGGTGGGAATGGCGCACAACACTTTCTAACTTAAAAACCCAAATCAGGACTAAACCTAGTTGTCTGCACTACTCTTTAAAAGAAATCTGATATCCCTGCTCAGTCACTCCATCTACTCACTCTTGCAAACAATTTTTAAATCCAAACTGTTTGGAAAGCTCCCTCTAGTGCTTACACGCCAAACCCTAAGTCCAGGTTATTGTATTTGCTTTGTAGTAACAAATGACAATTCACACTTCATAAAGCATCCTTTCCAGTACTGGTTTTAAATGACTGTGTGATGTCAGCTGTTACAAAAAGCTGAACTCTGGTCTTTGAAAGTAAACATAGAAGGAATTAGCTTCTAACCATTTGAAACCTAAAAAATATTTCTGACATTTTGTTTTGCTAAAAAGAGAAATAACAACTATTTATATCTTTGAATTTCAGCCAAAATGTCAATAGATTCGGTGGAAAATATAGACTAAAGATTTTTTAAATTTTTATTTATATTTTTTTGTGAAAATTATCCATGGGAGAGTCTTATTTAATGAGCTCTACCGGTCAAACCTATAGCTAATGTAGCCATCTCTCCTCAGCTTTAGGGCAAGCTTTAAAACAGGTTGAGTGTAATATTAAGTCCTCTGTTAGTTGCAAGGCACAGATCCCTGTTCTTCTCAGAAAGACCTTGCTGCTAAACAGTCTCCCTTACAGTCCATATATCCCTTGAAGTCTGGCTTGATTTCAATAAAATATTTCTCTCTCCCAATTGTCACTGGTCCCCTCCATTTCTAAGGTGTGTTTGTATCTCTTAGTAGCACTACTGGGGTTTGCTTCACAAATATATCTGCCAGCAGCTCATCAGCTGGCTAGTACAGGTGAGGAAGTCCCGTTTGTTCCCAACTATCTTTGAGAGGCACAGCCTACCTGAGCAACAAAGAAACAGTACTAGGCTAGAACTCAGCAGGCGCGTCTAATTGTGTAACTAATGTGATTGAATAAACTCCATGCTGTTTGCACCAGAGTTTATTGCTCCCAAGTGCCATGTTTACATGTTGAGCTGGGTCACAGCAGCTCCAGCTGGCAGTGAGCCCAGGGAGTCAGCCTGGGGCTGCTCTGCCCTGGCTCAACATGCTGCAGAGGGGCTGGTTGGGGCACAAGGGTACTCACGTACAGGGCTAGCTGGCAGCCTCTGCACTGAAGCACTCTTGTGACCTGGCCAACCGCACGTTGTGACAGAGCAAATGGAATGTATTAGTTTACTCCAGCCTAATAGCACCATTATTGGACTAAGTCTACTGTGCATTAGCACAAACAAATGTTTTTTTGTGATGATTAATGCTCATTGGACCAATCTACTTCGCATTAGCACATTAGCATCGTTTTTGCCAGCCACGCTAATGCACAGAATTAGTCCAATGGACGTTGTCTTGTGTAGCCATGACCACTCAGACTACTGCAGAGCTAATTAGGCAACTCCGCATCAAGCGTCTCATGTAGATGCACCCAATGTGAAGCATACCTGTAATTGCACGGTCAGCTTTGGGCAAGAGACTGGAAGGTTCACAGAGACAGGGGAGCTATGAGGTGGAAGAAAGGAAGAGGGGGACAGAAAAAAAACATCTGTTAGGTAAGATTGGAACTGGAGTTTATCATCATGGTTATTATCAATTTATGGGAGGAACAAGTGTAAAGAACCATACAAATAAGAGGGAAGGGACCATCAAATAATGTTGTACAGGGCTAAATGGAGCAATGAGAAATGAAAAAAGGGCAACATCCAAATTTTTTGGTTTGCTCACAGTCAAAATGTCCTTCACCCAACCATCTTTGGATGCTTAGGGTCATGAAAAGAAGTCCAAAATAGAAAGCAGCCCTTGTCTCCCTTATGCATGGGGAAAATGAACAAGAGACTGAGAAAGTGGTGGATGCAGTAATGTAACATGCATTTTTCTACACCATGCATTACATTTCAGATGTCTCCCTATCCACAGAAGAATCTTGCAGCAGAAACTCTGACAACAAGTTACAGAGGAGAGACTTCCTGCCTGACATTTGACTTCTGTCTTGAGATAGAGAAGGAGGATTTGCTGTGGTTTTCCCTTAGTTTAGATGAAATTTTGCTGCCTCCTCCCAAACAGCGAGGATAAGTAAGAGTTCTAGCCTCTCCTGCCCCTTTGGAGTAGAGGCAAACTGGGTAGATATTATCGTTCTTGGTGAATGGAGCGATCATGCACTCTAGGAAAAGGGAGATGAAGATGACTGGGCATCTCAGCCAGTTTCTGGCTCAGCCTGCCTTGCTAAGCACTCAACCTGTAGCTTGTTGAAATGCAAATGTCATAAGCCACTTGTACGAAGGTCTTACTTTCCCTTGATAAAAATCTATGATTTTTTTTTTTAAACCATATTCACTGAGCAGCAGGGATCCAATCCCTCCCCCTCACCCCCCCCAAACTCCCTATTTCAATAGGAGCTACTGCTATACTGCAGTAGCACAGTAGCCCCATCTTTTCAAAAGGAAACTAAAACAAAGGCTGGCTCCTGCTGCCTGGCAGTTTTAGTTATTTAGAGACATACAAGGAACTACCAAAAGGGCACAGGAGTGTGCAAAAGGATTAGACCAGAGACGAGGAAGCAGATGTTAGCTAGATACTCTTTCACTGCCCCTTGGCCCAGCTCTACCTTCCAGGGAGCTCCACCCTCCTTCTACTGCAACAGGAAGCTTTTGTATAGGCATTGCCTACAACTACGATGACCCTACAAGCAACTTAACAGCAAATTTGCCATCTGTGCATCTTTGTGTTTTCCTGTGTAAGAACATCAGCAGCATACACAAGTATCAACATCATCCCACTTTCTGGGGCCTCAATCAGGGCAGCATGATACTGCTCAGTGATCACCAACTGCCTAAGCTGCTCGCTATTTCCACTTGACAGTGCCTTTCCTCTTTTCCCCCACCCTCTCAAACTCACTGTCTGGGAAGCTCAGCCGTGGTCCCCCAAAACCACAGCTGCTTTCAGCACTTTTCCACAAAAGAGTTCAAAATGAGGGATAAGTAAAATTATCCTTATTTTATAGACAGGGAAGCCGAGATGCACGGTTTGTGCTAGAGCAGGTCAGAAACCAATAGCACCCTTCCTAACTCCCTGTTGTTTCAATAGAGTTACTGACATAATGCCACCAGCTGATCTTTAAGGCCCCAATTCAGAAGAGCATTTCTGTAGCTGAGTGATCCTAGTAACAAGCAACATGATCGAGTGTCTTGGGATCCAAGAACTCATCACCTTGTAGAACTAGACCCATAAGCAGTAACAGCCAGATTTTTCTGGCTCCCATCTTTGAAACACCAAAGCACCCAAATACATAACACCATTCAGAAAGAGAGCGATTTGGCAGACCTGGCTAGGATGCATCAGTCTTGCCTTTGCTATTGACTAGACAACAACTGTGGTATTTGCCTCCTCTAGTTTCACCCAGTGGTGCCACTGCAATATCTGTGCACCTATCTTAGATAAGTTTGTGATATCTTATATCAATATTGATTCTTTAAAACACCAGCCATGCTGGAAGGAGCTCTGTGGTTATCTCACTTACACAGGTCCATACTTCAGCCAACACAGCAAAATGTTCCTCTAGTTTGCCCTTTTTCTAGTTGGATTAGATGAGACCAATTCCTAGCAGCTGAGGTGACAATAGGTTGAATCCAAAGGTCATATCCAAACCCAGGCAATTTCACTAGCAGGAGAACTGCCACTTGGGTGATAAACATCTAGCTCTTGGTTTATCGTTTCAAGAAATTTTGAAACTTCCGACCTTTGATATTTTTATTTAAAATATTTTGAAACCTTGCAGATGGGTCACAATTTTACTAAGGAGTAAAAAGGGTTGTTAGTCAGTTGTGGGGGTTCAGGTAACCTGTTTAATTATATTAACAAGGATCTTTACCTGCAACCGACCTTGCTCCTCTGTAACTTTTTGGTCTGGATTGGTGACTCAGCCCAAGTTCAAGTTGAAGGCACACACACCACCTAATGTTAACCACAGCCAGAGTGATCAATATATAGACCCAAGCCAGTGTGAAATATAGCAGAGAAAAACCATGTATATTATACAAAACAATTGCCCCAGCAAAGTATTTGGAGCATTTTCCTCTCTATGTTCTAAGTATCACATAGGTTTGAAAAACAGGCAGAAAGTGTAAGAGCAAGCCAAACCTATTAGCTCAATCTTTTAAACAGCCTAAAAAGCTTCATTATTCTTGGACACTGTAATGGTGTCAAAAGGGAAGTTTCCTTCAGCTGTTCGTTTTTCTCCCATTACTGCTGCCTAACAGGTGTCTTCCTACCTTCCCAATGGCTTATAGCAAAGCTCAATTTGCAAAACAGAAACCATCTGCTTGATGCTTTTTTTGAATAAAAGTGAAATCAATCTATGTAACAGGCTCTGGGATTTGGTTGTGCATGTACTTCTGTAATTTAAACTCTCTCAGGGTCTACCCTTTCCAGTGACCTGGTTGGCCTAATGATTTCTTTGAAACGCCTTATGGCTCTTGACCTGGTAAGAATACTTTCACTGGGGCTACTTGACAACTTGCAGACTAATGCAGCAACTTCTGAAATTGAGGGACTTGCAGCAGTGATACAAACACCTCAGAGTCTCCACTAGGATCCTGGATGTGTCTAGTGCACAAGGCTGGAGGTCTCAGCCCCTGCCACTGTAAGCAATTTCAATACAAATTAACACTTCTGCATCCTTTAGGCCTATGATATTTGCATAGGGTAAACAATCAGTTTGATACATGGCAGAGATGCACTACAGTTACCTGGCTGTCCCAGTAGTTTAAATCCCTGCATTTTAAGTAAGGGCATACCAGACCAGGTGAAAAGGTTATAATCTTGCTGAGTAACACTCAGCTTTCAGCAAGACTGCTCTGCTGGCTTATTTCCCCTCCTATTCCTATGGGCAGAAAGAATACAAGTTGAGACTTGTTTGGTTTCTCAAATTTAATAAAAATATTTTTAAAAGTCATCATGTTTTCACGTTGTATAGGATGGGGAATTGCACTTGATCGTACAGTAATTGTGCTATTCAGTTCAAGTCAGAGTGCTCAGTCACATAAGTGATCAGTTAAGCTAGTTTGTTTAGGTGCCTTAAAAAAAAAAAAAAAAGGGGGGGGCCCTAACTGGGGGAGAGATGCTACCAATGTAAGTACCTGTGCTGCATTGCTTTCAGTTTCAGGCAAAAGTACATCTGCTTTAGGCTAAAGAGGCAGTTTGCTTCTCATCCAAGGTACAGTAACCCAGCTTCATTCACTGTTGAGTAATTTGACCCAGTGTGGACAGGAACAGCATCCTACAGTTGTTTTGCCATTAACAAGACAGGATCAGATTCTTCAACTGAACTATACAGCAAGGCATATGAAACCAGCTAACAAGGTGAGGGGTGCAAGAACACATGCATACAATATACCATTATAGTCATCCTCCAAACCTGTACTTATTCCATGTGTCTTCTAGTTTTCTACAACCGTCTTTGAATGTTTCCCCAATTAGTGCCAACATTTAGCCTAGTCTTAAAAAAGTTTCTTTATTTGAACCTATTAGCCTCAGACTTTAGGAGGAACCTTAAAAAAAAAGCAGCTACATAAGTTAAACATTAGCATTACAAACAACCCTAAAGCATTACAAAAAGGACATTTGGAGGTGTAGTTCAAAAACCCATTAGTGTCTTCAATATAAAATATAATCTCCAAGTTTAGGAAGACAGCATCATCACTTCTGCATCAGTTGGTCCTGCCAACATCTGGGCCATTAGCCCTCAGTACAGAGTTTAAGAGCATCTCTGATCTCCAAACTGGCACGATTCACAGAGAAGCTGCCTGGCTGCAGCTGCCAACCACAGAGTTAAGTTGTTTGAAGATGGTCTGCAAGTTTCCCTCCGGTGCTGGGTAGAAGGCATCCAAACATCTCTTGGGAAGCATAGGTCATATACACAAAGCCATCTTCATCTTTGTAATCCCTATACACTTCTGCCATTGTCAGTGACATACTGGCTAAACTCTTGTTACTCACCAGCAGGTAGAAAGCTTGGGTAGCATTTAGGGCCATTCTGCTTCTGTTTGGGAGTAGGGAAGGTAGGAGAGAGAAAGTTTTCATGTTGGAAAAAAAATCTATTTAAGCTTTTACATTACAAAATTTTAGAGACAACATCAATCAGTACAATATGCTAAAGTACTGTGACACAGTTACCTTACACATTATATTTTAAACCAAATGCTCTCCAAGTCAGGACATGATTTTAAACCCCCCTCCCCAGGTGAGGACGGAGGTTCAAGGTAGAGGTTTTGAGAGTTAGACTTAAAAAGTGTAACAAGAATCTAGGTATACAGGCACATAGTTCAAGAAGTCAGCATCTGTTCTGCAGCAGTTCAAAGCAGAGCACAGCTCTTATACTTTGGACTTTGATTTTCCCATTACAGTTAATGAGAGCACAAGTTTCTTCATCAGTGCTTCAGGCCTGATGCAGGACAGAGATTTAATGCAACCTATTAACAGACTTATTAAAAGCCTCAGTTAGAGGATTAGTTGTTTGCAGCAGCACAAAAAGCCACCTACAGCTGTGGATTCCCAGCTTAACTCAGGCATTTGTTTTGCAATGAGAGCAGCTCAGCTTTAAGAAAGAGAATAAAGTTTCTTGATTATCCTTTCTAGAAGGTGCCATGTAAAGGCTTTACACAGTGTCCTTCCCCCCACTTCATAAGAAAAATACACACACACACACACACACACACAAAGAAATATTAAAAGACACAGACCAGACAAGAAAAAAAACCTCTCTATTTCTGAGGTACTAGTATCACTAGCCTCTCCGAATAGGTTCTCCCCTCTAACCCACCTTAGGGAGAAAATATGTAGCCTTTAAAAATCACATCAGAAACATGCAGACAGAAGGGATGCCACATTTCTTGTAGAAGGCAGCCAGGGATTTAAGTTTTAAATTAGTGTTTTGGAACCCCCCCTGCTGAAAACCCAGACTTTTCAGGTAGCTACAGCAAAGTCAGCACAGGAAGGAACACGGTTCCATTTACATAGTATTAGTTACACAAGCATGCAGTACATACCTAATGATGGTTATAAACTGCGTCATAGTCAGTTCTTGTGGAACTAGAAATTTTGTTTTGTCCAGTAGAGGCAGGGATTTTTCTCTATGGTATCTTTCAACAATCACCTGGTTTAAAGAAGAGTAAGAAATGCACTCTCTTTAGAGCAAGCTTTTTACGAAAGGAAGGGAAGTCTTAAAAGGCTTTTCTTTAGGAAAAAGAAAACAAGATGATAAAATAAGTAAATTAAAAAGAGAGAGAGAGAGACAGACACATGCACCCACACAGCCATTCAAACACTAACATAAGGAAACAGGAGAGAGGCATTTACCGGGACTTTCGTTGGGAACTTTGCCCGAATTCCAGCTACTTCTTCCAGTCTAGTTGCTGTGCAAAAGAAACACAAATGTTATACATATGAAATCCTGCATCTCAGACATTTCTCAGCCAAGTAAAATACCCAAATGATTTACCAAAACTCTTTCTCATCTTAAAAGGCCTGACAGATTGGCTGCTATGGAAAGTCTGCATCTTCTTTACTTGAAGGCTTAGTGTTTCACTCTTAACAAAAAAAAAGAGCAACTAACTCCCTCTCCTTCACCAGAACTGAGCCCACTATGTGAGGGTGATAAGCCAAGCCCCTTATAAAGACCTGGTTGTGACTTCATATTACTTTCTTACCCCACCCCTGACCTCTCCCACACACAGCAGGGGGAGGGATTTAACCTGACTAAAGCTAAATTGCATTAGCATGGTAGGTTCTGGCACAGAGAGTTCACAGTAGTTTTACTGTGCTCTGTACCTAAGGGGTACAATATGCACCCTGGTCCTGGAAGGGTATTGTGACATATGGTACATCTCATGGCATTTGCTTTGTCCCCTTATGTAACAGAAGGTCCTTGGGTTTTCTCATTTTCCTGCATGTTAGAGCTCTCTTCAAGGACCCCCCACACCATTGAGGTCTATTTGAAGAAACCCACCTCTCCCCCAGCTCCTGCCTACAGCCCTTGAACAATGAAAATATGTTGACCAGAAGATTTTCCTGGGGAGTAGCAGCAAGTAGTCCCTACTGAAGACTGAGTACAGTGATTCATTAGCATACCCAAACTCTGCCAGTATATGAAGAGACAGTGAAGTCTAATTGGTGCTCACCTGTGAGCATCATCCTGGTGCAGTTATGATACACAATTTCTATAGCAAGCTTCAGTATGAACAGAGAGGTGGGCCAGCCTGTTTTGTTGCATTAGATGCAGTGAGGGATAATTCATCCCCTTGCAGGGATCTATACACAATTTAAATTGCAGTATGAGGGTTTGAGTGGGGTATAATTGCTTCATGGGCCTTTTGGTGACTCTGGGCCCAGGGTTGAATTTCACCTGTTTTGAATGAACCAAGATTAACTGCACTGGATTGCTGCAGTAACTTCATAAGCATTTTTCTGTGCTTATTACCCCTTTCCCTCCCAATACACACACATTTTCAATCAAGTACATCAACGATTCAAGAGAGAAATAGGCTTCATAGGGCTTGTTTGTTGGGGATATGCTGAATATTTTAGGATATTATGAGCTTAAAATGGTAGAGGGGAGTTAAAGACAATGTGTGGTGAGGGCTGATTAATGATCTGAATTAATGAAGATCTTGATTTTGCAAAATCAAGAATAAAATGCTGACCTTCCATTGGTATCAAAGGGAGTTTTCTCCTCAAGCACTGAATATGACATTTGGTTAGTAGGTTATAACTAAATATTTGGGTAAGTAAAGTTAGCTAGTGCATTCAGTGTCCCTCCATAGAAAAAAAAAATAGGCATCATATGTTGATTTGTCTCTGCATTCTTCCTTTGCAGGGAGGTTGGATGTTCTTATGGTGGTAAAAGAACAGGCCTGGGAAACAGAAAATGTGTAGATTGTTCCCACATCCATCGGCAACCTCCACTGTAATCTTAGGGACGTTATAATATTTTTGGGTAAGTTATAATCATCTTTATAGATGAGCTTCCTCATCTATAAAGTAGTGGTAATAACAACAACTCCCATTTCAGAGGGGTGTTGCGAAGACTGTTCAGTTTCTTCAGGTAAGCAGATCTGCTTTATGCAAGTAAAGACTAAGTCATTTTCTCCAAATGAGCATGACAAGAAGGCTGACTGCGAACATATATTTTTCTCTCCTCATGGACCTCTGTAAATACCATACTAAAGTCTTTGCTTGTGGCAAAAGAAAATTGACTAGGATCCTGATTCTGTTGTGGTTTGGGACTTTGTTCCCTTTCCACAATGCATATAACCATATGACTGAAGGACTTTGCTATTGTTTTGACTTTTCTTTTCTGCACCTTTAAAGGCAGAGAGTTTCTTTGTCTACTGGTGGGAAGCTGCCATGTTGTGTTGTAGTTCGGATGCAGAATGTTACAGGAGAAGTTGCTGTGGCTCCCAGCTACAAGGGTATTAAGGGCTCTTATTTCATTTGATGTTGATGGGAGTTAAGTACCTGAATATGTTTATGCAATTGGATCTACGTTCTCTCTTTTTACTGTGGAGATGTTACATCCCCCTCTTCGTTTTTCTTTAATGTAAATTAAGTCACCCAAACTATAAGATACATGATGTATGACACAACATAATGTTTTTGTCAGGAAACTGTGGGTGTAGCTAAGAGACCTTTTACCTTAACGATGCTCTGTGGCCCACGTACTTTCCTTTTTTTTCATGTGGTGTTAGCTTCTCAGTACTTACAAGTGGCTCATTAAATGATTTCCTTTTGCAAAAGAACTTTTTTTTTTACTCCTTCAAACCCTCAAATACCAGACTGGCTCGTTTTATGAATATTGAGGAGTGACTTAAAATACTGTTGTTTTTTTTTTTCTCTCTCAGAGGTACTTTGACTGATTTAATGATTTTCAGATAGATGGCAGATTCATCTGTTACTGAACCATGATTAGTCACACGCAGGTCAACCTCCTGGATTCTTATATCCCTTTTACTAGTTCAGCTATCAAGATGGTTTCTCAGCAAAACATGACTTAGTAAGAGTAAAATCAATAAAAGACTGATTGATGTTTTGACAAGCCATGCCAGCACATGGCTGTACCTGCTCTGAATTATTCTGACTGCCTTGCACAAGTATTGATAGCACGGTATTAGCAGTCTATTCATCTTATCAGATTTGGGGCAATGTAGGGTTGCTTAGAATTTATGAATGTCTAATATCACTGTTTTGTAGAGCAGAATCAAAGCTGCTGTTCTGGCTGAGTCTTTCCAGCTTGCACGATTTTATTGCCAGCCTTGCAATACTGGTTGTTACACTTAAATTCTCAGCGCTCAGACTCACCAATAAGGGAGAATCTTGCTTTTTGCTTAAAAATGAAAGTTTTAGTCCTCATGGTTACAGAGAAAAGCTTGAAAACGTGTTCTGAGTGCACCCTAGAAAGTCCAGAAACCAGAAGGGAATCGGGTAAGAAATCAGAACCCAAGAAACCCTCAAACAACCCTTTGCATTTCAGGTCAGTTGCATGATTTGTAAATACCTATGCAGAAATCCGGGAAACTTCATCTGCAAGAAGATCCTGGAATGTGCTCAGACTTCAGTGGAGATCCAGTCAGGGATTTGTTTGCAGATTTGGGCCTTGGTTCCAGTCATGGTGCATGAAAGGTAGTGGGCAATGTCAAAGGATGATAGGGAGGGTAAAGAAGTTGCCCATTTGCTTAGTGAGGCAAGTGTACAGTTTGATAGAGCAAAGTATTTAATGTGATAGGTTGAGAAAGAAGGAGGAGAATTAGGGCATCCAGTAAAATTGTCTCCAGCACTGAAACGAAAGCAGTCAGTACTAGCATGGATGTGTTTTGGAGGCTAGCAAATATACTTTGTGCTATATACTTAGTTTGGGGTATTCCCAAACATACCCAATAGGCAGATCAGGTGTTTTTTTCAGGCAGCACCACTGCTTTCTCTGCATTTGCCAGTTAGGCAAGTAGAATGAAGATCCTACTTTAACCAAATGCATCTGCTTTTGGCTGGTCGACCCACATGCCCAAAAGCTGACCTCTGAGAGATTTATCTGCCATCAAGTGTCTCCAAACTTATTATGCTTAGGCTTCAGACTAAGGAGTGCAGACTTTTGTTTGCAATGAACAACCCCAGGTATTCTTGTTAAGCTTGGTCCCAGGATTAATTTTTTCTCTCCTTAGTATCTAGCCCTGCACACCAGAGCCCTGATTTTAGTCTTTGTTATTAGGCCTTGTCTATCCTAGGCTGCTTCTAGTGCCAGAACTTCTGGCAACATAAGGTAGACAGGAAAGCCACCAGAACATATGCACACCTATGGCTTCCAGGGCTCAAAGTGCACTCTGGGTGGGATCCACTGTTGAAAGGGCCAGAGTAGCTGGCAAAATGCATGAGCATCATCCACAAGTGTTTTCTGTTGACTGTTTTGTGGCAGAAGACTCTTTCTAGTCAGAAGCTGATATTGCTCTGCTAGTCAAAAAATAGGGTTTAGCTGCCACCTGGAACTTGAGTTCTGCTAGAAAAAAAATGTGTTGTATATATACCAGGCCTTACAAAAACCTTTCTTTGTTGAGCATTTATGGGAGGTTCACCCTTGTAACTCGGAGCAGGAATTCCCACACAGTGTCTTCAGCTTTTTTTTCATCCTGATTGAGGTTAGTAACACAGAAGACAGGGAACATATATCACATAGGTGTTCTGAAGAATTCAGACCAGTGGCTCTCTCTAGGTGCTTAAAGCCTTTTAAATGGATCAGCCCTGGCTTCTGCAGAGGCTTTATTCCTCTCCATACCCTTGAAATCCCAAAACAGGGATATTTCCATGGAACTGTTACACTGGGGGCAGCTGAGAAGGAAGAAGTTTCACTGAAGCTGGACTTCAATCAAGGACCCTACCCCCAGAACAGGTAAGAGTCGACATAGAACTCATCATCAGCAGAACTAAATACAAACCCCCTACCTTCTACTTCATTTTCTCTCAGGAAGCTCTTCAGATATGCACAGAATTACAGTCCAATCAAGCAGGTTCTTACCAAGATTAGAATTTGGTGAGAGTCAGCAGAAGATTGTTACTGTGCCTATTTTTAAATACTTGGGCAGTGTTCAGAGACCATGCTGGTGTGAGCCATAGAAAACCTTCAGTTTTAAAGCTACTTGTGAAACAAACATTTAGAGCTAAAGCAGCATCTTGAATGTCAGGCTGTCTTATCTGATCTGGTTTCATTGCAGCATTTACGGCCCTTTCTAAAGACCTCCATTTGCTGTTGTGTAACTGACCTCTGATATCTCCATTACAGCCCCATATCCCAGGCTCAGGGCCTCCCAGTCACATCCTTGCCTGTGGTTTGGCAGGCAGAAAATTAATTTGGGGTGGGGATGTGTGTCTGCTGCCTCTGCTTCACTTGAGAGTATCAACGGACTCATTTTCATAGATTTCATAGACATTAGGGCTGGAAGGGACCTCGGAAGATCATCGAGTCCAGCCCCTTGCCTGAAGGGCAGGAAGTCAGCTGAGGTCATAGGATCCCAGCAAGATAAGCATCCAATTTTTTCTTGAAGGTGTTCAATGTAGGTGCTTGAACCACTTCCGATGGCAGGCTGTTCCAGACCTTGGGGGCTCGGACAGTAAAGAA